ATGTTTGTTCTCAGTAAAACGATTTTTTTCTCCTCATTTTAATATTTTTTTCGGTACCACAGTCACAAACATGGATATACGTGTGATAAAATGTTGCAGAGCGAATTGTGGGATATTTGTGGGTGAGTTGAAATGTCTTCACAGGCAAAAAGCTGAAGCGCAAACGAATAATACCGGTGAGAAAACACGAGGAGATCTCCGAGTGCTTGTTCACCCCCTCGTGGTGCGAGTTTGTCCAAACTCTACTACACGATAATGGGTCGCGATAGAGAGAGAGGAACAACCGGCCTGAACAAACCCTCTGTCATCCTCTCTTGAGCCGCTACAAAGGTTGAAGTGGCAGCAAACATAGTTCGATCTTCAGCCTCTGACAGATCTCCTAAACGCTCAACTTTTTACACAATCGTCAAGACAAAGTTTCCTCGCCGAAAAAGTTTCAATCCACGGATGCATGCTAAATTTGTGGCATTGTAAATTCTGTCAATTGTTATCGCTCTTTGCAGTCGTAAACAACACTCCCTGGTCCTAAAAGACACATAATTAAGCCCAAGTGTTTGTTACATATACGGCTTCATTTTCGAGGCCCTTATCAGTTGACTGTATCAAGCACTGAGCCCTAGATAAGGGAACGCGGCAGAAGGGGGCAGCTCAGCAATGTTTGCTCGGTTGAAATGCCTGTTTTCATTTGTGGATGAATTTGTTACAGAGCTGTGCCCTCAGCCACCCGGAGTTAAGCTCCTCTCCCCAAAAATAGTTGGGCAAGTGGCGGTGCGTGTGGACCAGACGACATTTTACATGCGCCCCTCCCGAAAACAAGCAATCATAGTATAACGGTACGTGTAAACCAGACGTGGTAGACGCTCCCCTCCTCAGAGATACTAGTAGTTGGTCTGTAGCGGTACGTTCAAACCAGGCGACGTTTCGAAGTTCGTTAATTCCTCTCCCTCAAAAATACTTGGGCTATAACGTCAGCGGTAGGCGTATAATGTTCAAACGACATTTAGGAAAGTAGCAGGGAAGGAAAATTTTAACCGAAAAACATTTCCCTTGGCCAGTTTGAATCCGGACTGTATTGCCAATCGGATGGTTCTCTCTCAGTTCCATGTCTTGCTGAAATGATGGAGCACAATGCAATAATATATGTATATGATATCGATATGAAATCTTTCAGTGCCCACATAATCTATATGATACTAAATGTTAGTCAATACGAGTTGGATGGGACTGAAGTTAACTGTTTGAAAAAAATGTCTAAAGCAATTTATATTAATACTAAATTGTGCGCTGAGTGTTAAGATGCCACAAAACTCGACCATCCATTTGCAGCTTGATCTGTAGCTGTATTTATGGTGTTTGTCGAATTGTCCCTCAGAGTTTTCTCTGATATGACGCACGGATGTTACACGTACGAACGTGACTTGAGTGCTGCGAAGCACTGAAAAGACCTTTTAACAAAAGCACCACCTACTTCATTTCTTTGCAGCAACATTCTAAGACCAACCACGGCACTCGAGTATGCCGGGTTTATTTGATTCGAGAAGCACTCACTTTACTGTGAAACAATTCTGAGAAGTATAAGTTATATAATTTTGGTTGTATTTTCCTCAACACGGACACGATGCATGATCATGGAAATGCTACACACTGATGATGAAAAGTGATGGAATAGTCTACAAAATAGCGATGTCTTTTTTTGTGTGTGGTGCTTTAAAAAAAGCACATGTGAGTTTATAGTAGTTGCTGTGCTCAGTCTGAGCTGTTGTGTGCACAGTGTCGGGCACTAAAACCGTTCCAGGCGAGACTGTCACGTCCTCTAGCCACTGATTACTATTCCCGCCATTGTCCCCAGGTGCCGATGTTTAGATTTAGGAGATTCTTTCTAAGGACGGCCACTTCACTGCCAAATAAAGTACCAGAGGTGTGCTGACAGAGACACACCTGTCCTGGTTACAGCTCGGTTTTGCCGCCCGGGGGTTCAGATAAAGGTCCTGTTTGTTCCAGACTCGCCCCCCTCCCATACACCTCCCTCCCCCCACACAACTTGGTTTCACTGCGCAGGCGTGCTATCCGGGCATTCGACCAGGTCAAGTGGAATTTCTATTTAGGCATTATAAGCTTGCCCAATACAGCCATCACTGTCGCTGTTATCAGGCTGAAGTGACAGATGCTGTTTGCTACACATGTACTTTGTACCAGGTGAATCGATACATGTTGACACACCTTGCTGAGATGATAAAAGCACAGGTGTGTGCACCAAGGGAGGGGGAGGGGGTATTCGCTCATGGACATACCAGACAGTCGTAAATAATTCAAGAAAATAGAATTAATGAATAGTTCTGTGACAGCAAGAACATCTGTAGGTGAACTGGACAAAAATGGACTTGTCTATTTTACAATTTTGTATGTACGACTACAAATTCACATGTCGTCTAAGCAAACTAAACTTATGAAGGACATCTTCCAGAAAAAAAACTTTATTGTCGACCGTCAACATGTGAGTACAAAGTGAGAAGTGCCTAAATTGTCGCTGTCGTCTGATTCTGTCAGAAAATGACGTCATCATGATAAAACAGACGACACGGCCCGTGCCCGTGTGGCGTTAGCCTGGATTTCTCCCTCTCTTTACCCGATGGTGGAATTTCAAGTGGCTAGGAAGGCCGGAATGTTAAGAACTTCTCACACATGGGGAGCCAAACTTGATAACACTTTGTTAGGACGGGGGTCTTTCGGCCGCCGCGCACTTCATCATTTTGTCGTTTGCGGCAAAAAGTTGTGAGCAAACAAACGGATGCCAGAAAGAGGGTTACATCTACGATTTCAAGGAGAGGCAGAGAAGAAAATCGAAGTTTTAGAGTCCATAATACATCCCAAAGTTCACCCAACGTGTCCGGGCAAGGCTTTTTACAAAGGCACCGCCAGCCGACCTCTGAAAAATGTGTAAATTTTACATAATTTCTCTATCAACGGAACCTAAGGAAGGCCCAAATGTCGTAGGTAAACGGGGAGATCAGCGTTCCACTCGACCCCTCGTATCAAAAACCTCCTTACACCTCTTATGTTGAAGGCAGATGACGGTCGGGACAAATACCAACAGAAGGCGTGCAAATATCTCCACTTAATAAACACCGCGAACACCTTCGGGAAAAAAATATCTGTCCTTTTGGACCTTATTGTTGCGTTCTATTTTTCTCTTCGCACTATGACCTCTCGTAGGTGGTACTAGCGGGGCATCAATTGCGAGAGGTCGCCAGCCTGCTGTCCTGTACTAACGAACAAATTCCGGCCGGCGCTTCTGAAGCCAAAGTCCCGATCTAACTCGACTGACACAGGGGTGAAATTTCGCCATCGATTGGTACACAGTGCAAAGATACTTGTGGGGACGAAAAGAACGCTTGACACAGACGCATAGATGACATATTTTCCAAAGCTGCCGTTCCTTATCTGGTGTTAAGGTGTTGGCACGCTACTTCAAACGGTTGGAGCAGGTTAATGATTAGACTTGAATCATGCCGGGGCATCAGGGGGTCAAGTAGATTACCTGACTATTATAGAGCAGTACGTGGAGCTCAGTTCAAAAGGACACAGCTGGGATTTAAAGAGAGAAAAAAACACTGTTATTCCCAATTTCTTTCACAGCGTTGTTTCCTGAGAATCTATATACAATGCGCAATGCTACAGAGTCGTCCACTAGTACACACAAGAAAATAATGAATTCCATACCAAGAATATGAAGCCATCTTGTACAAATCTTGTCCACACCTGTAAGATAAGGAGCGGTTGTTGGGGGTGAAAATATTAATTTTTAAATTTGGGAAAGACAAATATACCTTATAAATATACAAATATAAGATTAAAAATTACTCAAAGCACCAGGATTACACAAAATGCAGCACTACATTCAAACACTACTTTGGACTATTTCTGGTACATTTTCTAGTCCAGTCTTTAACAAATACGAACGGACGGAACATATAAAGAACACATGTAAAACACGTGAGCATTTCTTCAATATAGGAGAGTAAAGAAAATATGCACGCGTTGTCTGGTCCATTTTACTATCAGTATCGTCTCTTGCTATGTTTTTATGTTCACATAATCTATATTTCAATCAAAAACAGCGAGAGGTGATATAAATACACATTTGAACAATTTTGGTCAATTTGAAGCTAACTCAGTATATACATTTGACTATGAGAATGCTATCTGTGTTATACAGTTCCAGTCACATGAAGATATTGAATCTTCTTTATGACTGCCATGGAATATGAAAATAGCGCCATGAAATATAAGCCAGACGTTTTTATTGCGTTACCTCTCATAAGAATAAAATACCTCTTTATAGAATAGCGGAACGTCAGTATGATATGATGTGTAAATTTGCACAAACTGTGGCAAATATAACAAAACAACGTTGTGCACAGAAAAACAAGAGGGGAAAATTCAGTGCCATTTTGTTACACTGTTTCGTTGCACAGAAGATATAGAAACCCGGTAAAGTATTACATGGCGGACATCAACAGGTGGTTGTAATAATACAAACGTTCAGACAGGCGGCGCTGCTACACATGCTACATCGGAACATTTGTCAAAGGCTTCCTACTTCGTTGTTGTAAGTCAAGTATCGTCATTTAAACGCATGGCTCATAATCATTCAAACGATGGATTGAGTACTACCGTTGATTTCTGCCAGTTGATGTCAAATTTTGTAAACAGTACAGATCATGTGGCCGACAATGACAATTTACTCTTATCCAGAGAAAAAAAATGAGTTCTGCCACTTACCTGTCATCACGATAGGTTATGCGCGCCACCTAGCTTGCTTTGCAAGTGACACATGTCAGTGAACTTTTAGAGAACCTTTGGACTAACTGAATTTTGTGGCCGATTCTTTTTCGCTGGCGTAGACAAGTTCGACCTTAAACATGTCTCTGTTGAATCTCAGCGATGTCATGTGGCTGTGTGCTATTTTTAGACTTCAAAGAGCAGGCCGGCAGGTTCAACAATACAGGTTTTTCCATAGACCACTGACGTGTTACTAATCAGTACACTTTGCTCGAGATCTTCACCAGGATGGGACGTCAATCAAACTACGGTCGTCGTCGCACTTTCTTCGCTGTTCTTGTTCTTGTCTGTCTGTCTAGCGGTAGAGATGGAAGGCGAGGGAGACTCGTGTCCGAAGCAGATGTCGAACAGCAACGTCAACAACATCACGGTGGTGGCTCCGTCCGGACCGAAGGGCGACACGGGCTCGCCGGGCCCACCGGGCGGTCAGGGGGAGAAGGGAGAGGCGGGCCGTCCGGGGAAGCTGGGGCCGTACGGACCGGAGGGACAGAAAGGTGACAAGGGGTCCCCGGGACAGAAAGGCAGCCGAGGCGCTGAGGCGTTTGGCGGCGGGGCTGTTTACATCCGCTGGGGGCGGACGTCGTGTGAGGAAGGTACGGGCACGGAAACGGTGTACTCTGGGCTCGCTGGCGGAACGCTCTACAGCCAGACGGGAGGAGGCAGCAACTATCAGTGCCTTCCCGCAGACCCGGAGTGGGGTGCATACATCGACGGGGTCCAGGGAAGCAAGTCCTACATGTACGGCGCGGAGTATGAGATCAACCCAAACGCGCCGGCGTACGACCGGGCTACCCTGCACGACCGTGACGTGCCCTGCGCCGTCTGCTACAGTCTCTCCCGCCGCTCACAGCTGATGATCCCCGCCCGCACCACCTGTCCGGACGGCTGGACACGGGAGTACGGAGGCTACCTGATGGCGGCGTATCACGGTCACGCCGCCCGCTCGGTGTTTGTCTGCATGGACGGGGAGCCAGAGGTGTTACCCGGGGGAGAGCGGGACCAGAACGGCGCGCTGTTCTACCTTGTGGAGGCCCGCTGCGGCGCGCTGCCCTGTCCGCCGTACGTCGAGGGGAGAGAGCTGCCGTGCGTCGTCTGCACAAAATAAACATGCTATACGCAACTGTGAATGTGCTGCAACTAGAAGATGATTTTCAAAGCATAATCAATGACGTGGTGGGAAACTTCATTCTTCACTGAGTTTTGGTTGACGTTTGATTCTTTCGAAGAAAAACAGCAACAGCCTCAACAACCCAACGGTTTTATTGCGTTACCTCTCATAAGAATAAAATACTTCTGTATAGAATAGCGGAAGGCAAGAATGATATGATACGTAAATTTGTAATTTTGCAAATATAACAAAACAATGTAGTGCACATGAAAACAAGAGGGGAAAAGTCGTTGAACTGTTTTGTTGCACAAAAGATATAGAGACCCGATAGAGTATTACATGGCCGACATCAACAGGTGGTTGTAATGATACAAACTTTCAGACAGGCGGCGCTGCTATACATGCTACATCCGGACGTTTGTTATGCTCTGCAAAAGAATCCTACTTCGACATCTTGTAAGACAGGTGTAAAGCGTATAGCTCTTAATCATTAAATGGTGGATTTAGTACTACATGTACCATTGATTGCTGCCAGTTGATGTCAAATTCGGTGGCCGGTGCACACCACGTGGCCGACTACGACTTCTTGCATGCGAATTACAGTTGACTTTTGGTACGCACTCAGTTTCTAGTATCCTGGCAGATTATAAGCGCCACATAGCTGGTGTACTGCAAAGCAAGCCATGAATAAGTTTTCCGCTGGCGTCGGCAACTTTGGCTGTAAACATGTCTCTGTTCATTGTTCTATGATTTAACATGATTGTATAACACTTGAAAAGCAGTTTGGTAAGCAGAATTCAGCGCAATTTTATGCGCATACAATGAGCTGCAACTAGAAGATGATTTTCAAAGCATAATCAATGACGTGTTGGGAAACTTCATTCTTCACTGAGTCTTGCTTAACGTTTGATTTTTTCGAAGAAACAACAGAAACCTTAACAACAAAGAAAAAAAGACGAGTCTGCCAGGATTCGAACCTGGAATCTTCTGATCCGTAGTCAGACGCGTTATCCGTTGCGCCACAGACCCTTCATGAAAATTGACCCTTCACTCAAAATCTTCTTCGTCAGCTGAATAGAAATATTCTGCAAGGGGAATAAATATGGGCTGTGTCTAACCTTTAATTAACGTGTCTTCTTTCCATTCCAACTCTTCATGCTTTGATAACGTGAAAATCAGTCACAGTAAGACGGACGTGATCCAACAAGATTCAACACACAGTCACACACCGTGACACGCGCACAGACGCACAAACGAACACATAAACACATGCACACATACAGACACACACGTATAGACACACACACACACACACACACACGTCCGGACACACACACATACAATCCACACAATTCAGGAGTACTATGTACCCCTGCTATGTTGACTATTCTTAATAAAATTGAAATTGAAATACGTACAGACACACGCACGGACACACACACACACACACACACACACACACACACACACACACACACACACACACACACACACACATGTACAGACACTCGCGCACGGACACACACACACACATGTACAGACACTCGCGCACGGACACACGCGCGCACACACACAGACACACGATAACACGTGATTTGAAATCACCAACTCGATATTTTCGTCAATGATTGTGGAAAAATAATTAGACGATTGCGAAAGTAGCTGATAACCGTTAGGTAGGTGCCCTTTTATTCACGAAGTGTATTTTGTCATCAGTACTAGTGTACTAGGTTTCTTTGATAAGCTTAACTTTATATTAATCCATAGTAACAACTTTGTGGCAGTGAATGTCTTAGCTATAGACTTATTTAAAAAAAAATTATACTTTTAAATTTAAAATTTGCCGCGACCCGGGATTGAACCAGGGACCTTTAGATCTTCAGTCTAACGCTCTCCCAACTGAGCTATCGCGGCTGATGTAGTGAACTACTTGTCTTTCTTTCGTTACTTGTCTTTCTTTCGTTTGTTACTTTTTGTTGTATTTTTACATCTCAAGTTCGAGTAAAACTGTTTTTCAAGCCAATTATGATTATAACATCTATCTCTAAGGGTCTGTGGCGCAACGGATAACGCGTCTGACTACGGATCAGAAGATTCCAGGTTCGAATCCTGGCAGACTCGTGAGCTTTTTTTTCTGTGGTTTTATTTTTTTTATTTTTATTTTCCGTCATTTTTATACAGGGTAACCCAATTCAGTGATGGCACTGCTTTTCAACGGGGCCCTGTATTACACAGCACAATACAACAATCACATACAAATAATAACATTAGCGTACAAAAATTATACAATAAATAATTAGAATGGCAATGATAATAACGAAAACAATAAATAAATTATAATGGCAATGATAATAACGAAAACACAGTAATTAACCAATAACAGTAATAAATAGTAATAATAACAAAAAATACATCATTGTCCAGTCCAGTCATTGTCATTGTCCAGTCCTATATGTTGGCATGGAGGGGTCAGAGGTCAGGCCAATTCTTACATTTCATTTTAAAAATGGACATGGACGGACAGGTCTTAATAGCAGTTGGCAGCCTGTTCCAGAGGGCAGGGCCTCTGTAGGAGAATTTGCGCTTTCCACATTCAAGGCGAACAAGCGGCAGTTTCAAAGATAGGTTCTGGCTGTGTCTGGTGGGGTATCTGTGGGATTCAAAAGCCATCTGGAAGTTATCTATGTAGTCTGGGAGTTCATTGTTGACTGCCTTGTACATTGATTGTAGCAGGTGCAAGTTTCTCCGAGATGATAAAGTTTTCCAACCTAGGGTAGATAACTCACCATCGCCAACATGATGTGTATAACGTAAACGAAGGATAATTCTCACTGCCCGGTTCTGGTACTTTTGCAATTTGTCAGACAAGCATTTACCACAGTTTCCCCATATCACATCGCAGTAGTCTATTTTAGGTAGGACTATACAGTTAAACAACATTATAAGAGTGTGTTGGGGCAGACATGGGATGAGGCGTCGTATGACTCCCAGTCTGGAAGAGACCGCATTACACAACTTGTCAATGTGAACTTGCCATGTTAAGCTGGAGTCAAGCCAAACGCCAAGGTACTTATAACTGGAAACAACTTCCAAAATGGTGCCAGAAAGGATAACTGACAATTGTTCTGTAACTGACTGCAGCCTACGTGTGGTCCCAAAGAGCATAGCTTTGCATGTATTAACATTGAGAGTCAGTTCATTTGTTTCCAACCATGTCTCAATATTACGAAGATCCGCATTGAGAGCATTGTTTACATCTGTGACTGTCTTGGACGCATAGAAGAGAGCAGTATCATCTGCAAACAATACAACATGTCCATTTGATATATAGTCAGGTAAGTCATTAAGGTACATGATGAACAAAAGTGGCCCGAGAACCGAGCCCTGGGGTACTCCCACAGTAACTTCCAGGAAGTCACTCTGGACTCCATTTATGACAGTAGTCTGGTATCTGTCCTTGAGGTAAGAACAGAACCATGTCAATTCCTTGTCTTGTATCCCAAACATTCTAAGCTTAGCCAGGAGGATCTTATGGCTTACCGTATCAAAAGCTTTCTTGAGATCAAGAAAGATTGCTCCGGTAACAAGACCCTTCTCCATATTGTCTATGATGGAGTCAGTGACATGTGTGAGTGTTGTTGTGGTAGAATGTTTGGGTCTAAACCCAGACTGGAACTTGTTAAGTATGTTATGGTCCTTACAGTATGCATATATCTGAGTATGTACAGCCTTCTCAAAAATCTTCATAAATGATGGTATAATGGAGATCGGTCTGTAATTATTACAGCTGCCCTTGTCACCTTCTTTAAATAAGGGGGTGACTTTGGCTCTCTTCCAGTCCCTCGGGACTTCACCTGAAGAGAGAGATAGGTTATAGATGTATGTGAGAGGACCTGCTATAGCCGGGGCAGCATACCGTATGAGTCTACTGCTCACCCCATCCAATCCAGTACTTTTACCTAGAGGTATACTCATCAGTTTCTTAAGAGTGAACTCAGTGGAGATATTTTCGAATTCAAAGGAAAACTGTGCCGGTCCTGAGACTGTTCTGTATACACCCGCAAAAGCTGCAGCCAGTTTAGAGCCAATTGAGGTAAAGTATGTATTGAATTCATTCGCAGTGTTTTTTTCTTCTTGTTTAGGAACATTAACATGTTGTTTGGCTTGACATGATGGCAAAAGGGTCTTAAGTGTGGCCCAAAGACCTTTACTGTCACTGCCTTTAGTTTCGATTTCATTGCAGTAATACTGTTTTTTTTAATATCGTGCCATGTTGTTACATTTGTTTCGTGCCTTTTTAGCTGTCTCCCACATAGATGGGTGTTTTGTTTTCTTAGCCTTATCAAAGTAAAAATCTCTTTCAATGTATTACTGGCGTGGATATGTTCTCTAGAAATCAAGTACACCATAGTATACTAGTATTTTGTTGACGTAATAATTTTTGCAGTATACAATGCAGCGGAATTGAATAAAATATGTTCTTTTGGTGTTATTCTGTGTGCGCTCTTTCTGTGATTTCAAATAATAGTAGTAAATGTATCATTTTAAGCCTAGTACGTGTACCTAAGTGCAGAAAACCGAGATGGATAGTGAAATTGTCAGAACCTCTGTGGTGCATCCTCCGTAGTTTCCAACGACTCCTTAATGTCGATACTTTGTGTTGTACCAACTGCCAAATAATTTAATTAAGGAATATGTGAGATGAGGCCAGATATAGACTTTTTATTGACGTCATAAATAATTAACATATGAATCCCGGCGACCAGGTGTTGGCGGGTAAATTGATTAAGTTGTCATGTTGGCGTGTTTAACACGACTGTCACTGTACATGTTCCAACATGGCGGATGTGAAAAGCCTCTACATGTACCGCCGGGTCTAAGACCAACCATGGAGGTAGCTCCATGGGCCAACCAACCCAGGAGTGTCAGGAGCAACCAGGTACAGGACATGGTCGGAATCAGGTAGGAGTTTCTTCTTCTTTCATTTTGAACCTGCCACATTCAGCTAGCTGAAGATTCTGCTGCCCTTTTGTGGCTAATATGAGATTTCGCCAAGCCTCCATCCAGGATAGTCGTGTATTCGTTCTAGGTTCTTAGGACTTTCAATTGGTCAAAACTTGTGGGTGGAAAAGCGTAGAATTACTGGGAATCAACCGATTCAATTCATGAAATCTTGGTTGATAAAAAAAACAGACCACACTGCCGTGTCAATAACTGCTCACCGCTATTGCCGTGACCAGGATTCGAACCTGGGTTATTGCGGCCACAACGCAATGTCCTAACCACTAGACGATCACGGCGAGCTACATGTGATCGTACGATATGTGTACGCCAGCTAGCTGCCATCACAAGTTCAGCGTCCTAGATTGATGAACGTAATTAACTAACTGACACACGCGAGCGTTAGCACGATATTTGACATGATTGTGAAAAAAAGAATCATATCATTACTTAAGTAGCAATCAACCGTTAGATGCCCTGTTTTTTTTATATCAGTATCAGTATCTGTATCTTTATTTTCTATAGCCGGCACCCCTCGGCGTATCACACCAGCGTTACATGGCTATGGGGTTTAAGGTCTGGCATGTGGCATCCGGCCTTGACTACTAAACAATCTAGAACGGATCCAGATGAGGGCCTGTAAAATCATCTTGGGATCACAGTATACGAGCTATAACATGGCACTGACAACCCTGAACCTCAGCTCCCTTGCTGACCGACGTCGTGAACTTT